TTCTCTCTCTCTCTCTCTCTCTCTCTCTCTCTCTCTCCTGCCCCCCTCCCCCATTCTTTCTCTCTCTGTCTCTCTCGCTGGCTCTCTCCCTCTCCCCCTTCCTCCAGATTTCCGATGTGATCGTACCTAGGGAAGGGAGTAATTTGTATATTTAGTGATAAAAGCTCTGAGTGCCGCCCGGGGCTATGGGGGAGTTGTGCACCCTAATCCGTTAACCCGGGGATAGTGTTTGGGGGGACAGGCGGGGGATGACCACTGGTCAAATGGGAAAGGGGGGATGGAGAGGGGGGGGGGTCGCTCAATGTCGGGTGCATTAAGTGTGGGGTGAGAGAAGAGTGGAGCGGAAACGTACAGAGGGAGAGGCGAGATAGAAGTCTGAGTGGGGACAGACCAAGGATGTTATACAAAAAGGTTGTAAGGTCCTTGGGCAGACTGACAGACGTGAAGGGTTGCCAGTGTACATTCATACAGACAAGATCAAACGTTCATTCAAGAGATGTTTGAACAAAGCAATGGTAATTTTCCCCTTATTTAACACAAGCATATTATGCACAAGTTCAACAAATTTAATACATGTTCTGAAATAATACCCTATCTGTAAACCAGTTGGGGGGGAAGAGGGGGGGGGGGGGGTTGAGCAGGTTTTATCCTGTTATGCAACGGATTACTCAATTTTGAATTTGAAAAGAAATAACGGTGGTTCAGAATCATTTCAAGGGGGCACAGTTATATTAATGAGTCTGAAGTCAATGTAGTTTAATTTTCAGTCTTTCATTAGTTTCGTTTAAATCTAATTTTGGGAAAGTCCGTCTTCTAAGACACCATTGTAAACAAGTGAGGCTTCCGTTCACAAGCAGAGCGCACCGGTTCCATACACCTTTGAAATTCTGGAGTGTACAGCCGTGAAAGCGGAATAGAGGATTAATCTATTATATATTATATATATTCCATTCATCGAACAAGTACCGAGCTAGTGAATTATATAATAACAAGTAATAAAAGTGATATCAAAGATAATAAACAGAAGGGAAATAGGTGTATGGGTTTGGAAGTATAGGAGAAGAAAACAAGTTTGGCTTCCGTTCACAAGCAGTGCACACTGTTCCACAATGACTTGACGTTCATCGAGCGGGTACCCACCTAGTATTATCAAAGAGTAGAGAATCATTTGTATTATCTAAGATCCTGTATATAGAATCTTTGGTATTATCAAAGATCGTGTATAGAGAATCATTGGTACAAGGATCGTGTATAAAGAATTTTTGGTATTATCAAAAATCGTGTATAAAGAATCTTTAGTATTATTATACGTCAGTAGATCGGTGAAGAGGTCAAGACTTCCCCGCTGACCCGCTAACCCTCCTAACCCCGCGGAGATCTAAGGCGCGTGCGCACAATCCGGGGTACAAACTTGTCGTCTGCTTGATCACTCTCACCCCCTCAACCCCCCCTCT